TTGAAGCAACTGCCATGTGATTGGTTGATTAGATAATTGCATTAATGAGAAATTGAACAGGTGTTCCTAATAATCCTTTAGGTGAGTGTATACGAAAATGCATTCTGTAGCCGTAGCTCTGTGTCTACAGCTTGATGTATAGCAGAAAAACATGGATGCTTGACCTTAAAGTTGCAGTCGAGCCATAAACATTTTCATAAACATTAATATTTTCAAGCAATGTTTTTTCTTAGAATTAAACTTTTAGCTTGCTAAATGTGAAAAGAGCAATTTCCAGATCGCTGGAAGAAAGGTTCTTGAAAAGGAGAAAATTATTTTGAAACAATGTACAAATATATAAAATATATGTGCACCGGGTCACTAAAGACCCGAGGTATGTAATATTGTTTCCCGAAAGTTCCAGTGTACATAACGATTACACATTTGGGACACCCTTAGAAAACAGATGTACTGGTGATCAAAGGTATGCTGCAAGGTTTACCTGGATATCCTGTGTCACCAGGCAGCCCTTTAATGCCACGGGCTCCAGCTGAGCTGTAGGAGTCTCCCCTCTCACCTATGAAGACAGAAAAACTGAAGTCCTTAAAGGGAATGCTTTTTGTGCCTAGTCATCCATCCATCCTTCCTTCAATCCTTCCACCCATCCATCATCCTTCCTTCCTTCCTTCCATCCATCAGCTGCTTATCCAGTACAGGATCACAGTGAGTCTGAAGCATATCCCAGAATGCATAGGGCAGACTGAATGAGAGCAAACAAATTGACGCAGAAACACACATTGTGGCCAATTTAAAGACACCCTATCATGTGCCCAGAAGAGTACCTGGATAAAAACTGCAGAGCAAACTACAAAAAACACCACTCATCAAGTGGTATAGAAGCCATTTTCAAAATCAGTTTATAATAACTGGGCTCACCTTTTGGACCAGATAACCCTGGTTCTCCAGGAAAGCCAGATGGTCCAGGAAAGCCATCATCGCCCTGTGAGACAACCAGCAAGAGAGACTTTGCAGCTCAGTAAAAGGCTTACTGTACAATCAGCTATACCCTATATGTTTACATCAGTGGCTGCAAGTCCTATTTTAATCTCGAACATTAACTCAAAGCCTGTGTCTCACTGCTTACCCTTGGCCCTGGCATGCCGAGAAAGCCCATGATTCCAGGGGATCCCTTAGGTCCAGGGGAGCCTACTAAGGATGGAGATCCTGGGGGTCCAGGGACACCAGGGGGACCCCTCTCCTGTCCAGGAAATCCAGGAAGACCCGGCAGACCCTGACGGCCTGGCTGACCTGGGAATCCTTTGTCACCTGAACACAGAGTTCCAATAAAGCGCATCAGATTTAGCTACAATATTCATTGTGGTCCAACACACCACAGTTTGGCAGCTGCATTCAAAAGTTACCAGAGAAGGAAAGTTCAAATCCAGAAAGTACATTTTTTTGTTGTTTCAGGGAGCAGCATGGTGCCTCAGTGGTTAGCACTGTTGCCTCACATCTTTGGGACCAGGGTTGAAGTCTCTGCCATGGTTCCATGTGTGGAGTTTGCATGTTCTCCCCGTGTCGTCATGGGGTTTCCTCCGAGTACTCTGGGTCCCCCCCCGTGTCCAAAAATATGTTGAGGTTAACTGGAGTTACCAAATTGCCCGCAGGTGTGCATGTGTAAGTGCCCTATGATGGGCTGGCACTCTATTCTAGGTTGCTCCCTGCCTTGTGTCCAGAAGTTACACTCCCTGAATAGACAAAGATAGATGGTTTTTGTTTCAACCAATCAGTTGGGTACAAAGAGTCACAGAGTATTCAACTGGTTGGTTGAAATAAAACCTTGGTCTGGATTTGTATTTTCTGGATCTGAACTTTCCACCTCTGCAAGTTGCCATTCTTGGTTTAAGACAACTGACAAACATAATATCAAAGCACCCCTGGAAAAAGTTGTTGACTTCAGTTGAAAAAAAGAAAGGTCACACCGATGATTTCAGAATGCTTGAATGGACGGTAAACTATTCAGAGGGCTGAGAGATCTGAGCAGAAGAACTCACATCCCAGCTCAGGTGCATACCTCTGGGCCCAGGAAATCCTGGGCTTCCTGGGAGGCCGACGTCACCATTTTCCCCAAGTATTAAGGGCAAATACAGAAGCGGCGAAGACGCTGGCCCATGTGGACCAGGTTCCCCTCGATCACCTTAAAGAAAACACAGAGCCATCTTTGGTAGGTAACATCTGACATTTCTGCACACAAGATAATAAACCTGTATCCCTGCATTAATTTTAGTGTAAGCAGAGCTGTACAGCACCTTTACTTCCTTGCCTTCCATAACTTCCCGGATTCCCATCCCTTCCAGGGAACCCAGGGCTACCCTTGATTCCTGGCAGACCAGGTTGGCCTGGATGTCCTGGCATTCCTGAGAATCCCTGCATACCAGGAGACCCCTTTTCACCTGCAATGATAAGGAACAAGCCCATCAGCTCTGGTTGGATTCAAAAGACCAATCATACAGTCAGATGTGCTCATTCATACATGCCTGAGTATTTAAGGGTACAGCTAATTATACACAGAGAACCCACCAATCAGCCAATCAGCTGAGAATAAGATCAAGGAAACGGAACCTCGTACCTTTTCTTCCTAGAGATCCAGGGAAGCCACTTCTTGATTCAGGACCCGGAGGACCAGGGAGACCCCTGAGTCCAGGCAGTCCAGCCTCTCCTGGAAATCCTGGCTGGCCCTTTATTCCACCCAGACCTGGTGGTCCCGCATCACCGGTGGAGCCCTTTAATCCCAGCATTCCTGGACAGGGAGATAAACACAGGTCCTAAAAAAGAACCAAGGTGACTGGCGGGGATAACATTCATAGCATGATGACAAAGTGCTGGATATATTATGGAGTGCAGCAACACAGATGAAGTTCTTCTTACACAAAGTATTGGATCATGTACAGAACAAGTAATGAAAAATACATTCCAAACACTTCTACCTGTTTATAAACTAAAGGTAGACATTAGTGAGCCTTGTTTAAAAAGCAGAAGCATGGGAATATAATGAAAATAATTCTAATTAAGCATGTTTATCATATTTAAAATGAAAGCGGACCGATTTAGAAAAATGTGACCCCAAACATGGACAAGCGGTTTTGAAAATACACCGATTGTGCTGTAAAAATATTAATAAATAGTTTTATGGAGATACAGCACTAAGCATGCACATCTTAGCATAAAGAGCATAAAGATTCCTTCCTATGGATGGCAGCCAGTGTAATGGCAGAAACAGAACTACAGTAAATCAGCCCAGGAAATGTACACGCAAGCAGCATTCCTATATAATTCAGCAGGAGCCACTAGCACTGAAGTCAGTTTAGCTTCAAGAGGTTATTTGACAGTAGCAGTTTGCTTGGCTGGTTTGTTTAACATGGTGGGTTGGGTTGGACATAGAAGCATATACAAATATGTGCTGAAAACGAGGCCCAGGCTGTGAGTACTCCCCCACCTGACCAATAGTGTCTCTGCAAATTATTGTAGTCACAACTGTTAAGGCCAGTGCATCTCAGCACCTTCACACACAGTGCTGTTTGTTCAATATGCCCCCCCC